AGGCATGCTAAGCTTTTTACAGAAAGACTTGATTTTAAACACCAAAGAGCCGACGGGGATGTTCTAGCGATGATGCACAGCTGATATCTTTTTTTGCGTCTCTGTTATCAGTTGGATGGTAATGGCGATGACGAGCCTGGAGTGCTGATGACTGCTCAGACAATCACCTCTGAATCTCTGTGTACTACTACAACGACGCACATTACCAAGGTACAGACACACACACACACACACACACACACACACCCTGTTGTTGCAGTCTGACGCTTTATGATGTTTCATAACAACAGCTCAGGTAATTTTTTTGTGTAGCACACATAGAGGTACTCAATCTGTGCAAGTAGAAGCAGATGTGTTTGAGCTACTGTCCCACAGTTTAGCATGGTTCACACAGGTGAGCTTTGGTAGTTTATAATTAACCCCTTGTGACATGCATGATACAGTAGCATTGTGAATTTTTTGTTCCAGACATTGAAGGGTGGCCTGTCAGAGACGAGGATTGAGAAACGCATCGTCATTACTGGTGACTGTGACATCGACCATGACCAGGTCAGTTTTCAGTCACACAGCGGAACCCCCCAGCTTTACCTGGTGTTTCATCAGCTTGGCTGTTAGTTTGCTTTATTCTGACCAAATGTGTGTGGTGTGAAAGGCTCCAAGAATCATTTTGTTCATGTGTAAGCAGGGTGCAAAACCAAATTTTGCACCTTTTATGGTTGAAAATTTGAGCTTACTTTAAATAGCTTACACACCATCAGAGTTTTGTTCTGTTAGCTTAGATTTAGCCGTCCCTGGTAGGCTAGTGGTTAAGGTGCAGCGCTCTCGCCTCTGTGCCCCGGGTTTGAATCAGGGTTGCATCGGGAAGGGCATCCGGTGTAAAACACATGCCAAATGTCAACATGCGAGTTGTCAGATTTGCTGTGGTGCCCAGAAGTGACTTTCTTTCTTAGCTTAGACTTAATGGAACAGACAGACATCTGGTGACATGTCAGTCATGTTGCTTGCAGACTGAATGCAGTTTTGTTTATTAATCACTTAGTAGTTACCCATAAAGCATTGGTTCCACTCAGATTTCACCTATTAGCTGGGCTCTGTCCCATCTGTCTTTTCATACATTCATCCATACATCTAGAAAATGGTATTTGAACCTTTTTGTCTCACCTTGGTTAGTTTGATTTGCTGTCTTTGTCTTTGATTATCCAGTTTTCACAATCGCAGAAAGTCTTACTTTTACTTTTGGTGCCCCAGAAAAGCAAAAGCTACAGGGAGGACATCACATTTGAGTTAGAGCAGTCCAAGTCTACTAGGACAATGGCACTGACATTTTTTGTTGTTCTGTTTGTTCAGACAGATTTGGTTTTAATTTGAGGATGTACCACATTTGCTGTCAAATGTCTCATTGTCTATATACATAATGACTGCTCTGTAAAATGTGATTCATAAATTTTGGTATGTGTTTGTATATTGATTTGACAACTTGATAAAATAATCAAAAAAGACATTTTGTATATTTGAAAGTGATGGCTGATTACTATATATTTGAAAAATTGGACTGGAGTTTTACTCAGGCCTGAATCTGCATGATGTCTTGTGTAAGTTGCTTGTTTGTTTCTAATTTGCTGGATTTACACAACAACAGCAGATTTGTGTCTCATTGAGTTGGAAATGGAATTTAAAAAGTGTCTTTCACTTGATATCACCTGCCCTTCTAAAGCCATTTTACTTCCGCCATTTCATACCCCCACCCCCCAACCCTGCATTTAAACATTAAGTTACCCAGCGAAGTAAAATGGTACACGTCACACTTACTGTAAATCCAGCATTCTTGTCATTTTCTTTGTTTCTTATTTCGTTTTTCATGTAACCCGACCATTTTCCTCTCCCTCCTCCTGCTCCATCTCCACTGCCTGTTGTGCTTGGTGCTGCCACTATGTGGTTGCCCCTTGATACTGCAGGCACTGGCCCAGGCCATTAAGGAAGCCAAAGAGCAACATCCTGACATGTCTGTTACCAGAGTGGTGGTTCATAAAGAAACTGAACTGACTGAGGAGGAGGAGGATTGACTGAACTCAGGTAATAATAATAATAATAATAATAAATAATAGGAACTGATTATCACTATTCATGGTGGAAGGAATAATGGAGGCCTTTGTTAAAAGAGTGGTGATGGTTGAACTGGTTTATTTGCTGAAGGCAAAATGTGAAAATCAGTGAGATGAAACAAAACCTCCCACACACGAAGCTGCTAAAACCATCAGCCATCATCACACAGGGGAACAGAGCTTAAAGAAGGGAATGGAATATTAAATTGAGGGAGTGACTGACAGAGGTTTGTGTGTGGAGTAAAAGGGATTATTTTGAGTTGCAAAGTAGTGTTGAGCTCTAACCATCACACCACCCAGGCTGACTGCCTCCAACTCTGTTTCCCTCCCTTCATATCCAGAGCTGAGTGGGCCCGTCGATTTCTCTGTTGAGGTTGAACGACCTTCATCACCCTGCGACAACCAACCTTGACTGACCGATGAGGAGCTAAAGAGAGAAGTCACCATTCTCGTCCCTGTTGCTCTTTCTTACATGTCTGTGGTGCATCTAAATCCTGCACTCCAAAACCAAGAAGAAAAAAAAAATAACCACTCTTTTTTGAGGGAACAAAAAAAGAACCACTTTGTTAGCTTAATATTTGTAGTGTTTTTTTTTATTAATAGTGCTTCTTTCTTTAGTGAGTCTGTCATATATCACAAAGATAAAACACTTAGGAATGCACTGATAATTAATCCTGATGTGATACAAGGCCTAATTACATTGATTGATCAGTACCAGCGTACTTCAGTAACCCCCAAAAGTCAAAACAGGTTGGTGCTTTTTTCATAGATAGAAAGGTTTTAGCAGACCCCCAATTTTTTTTTTTTTTTTACTAATTTTTGTTAAAAACTAAAAAGATGGCTGTTAAATACTGTATTTGGAATCTGTATCAGCAGTGGACAAGTTGTATTGGTGCATTTCTTTACATTTTTTTACCTTTTCAAAGTAATGAAATCTCGCAGTTTCACACATTACGACACATTCACAGTCAAATGAATGCTAAAAAACAGCTTTGTCACATTATCCCATTTTCTTAGTAATAATTACAGAAGTTTGGGGGCTATCTCTTCAGATGTTACAGTCATGGCTTTGAATTGTTATGATTTTGTCTTTCTGTCTTATTCATCTTCATTTCTTGTGTGTTGACTGGTGGTTGAGTGAATTCATTTTCAGTTCATTTCACTTTTTACTCAACTCCAAGAAGAACGTATGTTTTGACATTTGCAGTAGGTGGGAATGGAAGGCATTTTAATAGGGTCTGTGGGTTTTACTAGAATTCATTTTTACTAAATGGAAATAACTGTGAACTGAAAGTGGACTGACTTTAAAGTTGGTGTATGAAACTTTCTGTACAGTAAATAAAATGTTGTTATGCCGTAATGCAGCTTTTCTAAATGCTCCCCCTGAGCCCGATCACTGTACGACACTATCCATTCCGATTGGGCTGCAGGGAAGCAAGCAAGGGAGTAGGGAACTGACTTTCTGATTGGGAGAGAGGACCAGTAAATGGAAGGATAATTGGGAGACAGAGGTGGCGCTGTGCAGCGCTGACTAACAGTAACAACTTGGGAGTGAAAAAGAATTTGAACATAGATGCATGTTGGCTTTACTTTATGAAAGGTTATGTTTTGGTCCTTTTAGTTTATATCCTGCTGTGAGTTAAAGCTGTTTTAATGTTCTTAGGACAGTGCTTAACAAGTCTGTAGTTTAATTTATTCAAAAAGAGTTTCAGGCTACAACCAGCACAGGTACTGAACTGAGATCATCCAGCTGAAACAACTTGAAACCAGTTCTGTTCCAAATTCAGTTCAATTTCTACCAGTTTGCTAGCTCTGCATTTCAGCCTGTTTGTCACCATAGTTCAGCACCTAACTTCACTCCCAGCTTCTCTCCATACCAATATAATCTGCCAGATCTATTGAGATCTGCGATTAATTTCCTTTTGCCTTCACACATTTTATCTTGCAAGACTGTTTTGATTGAGTTTATACAGAAGGCTACTGTGTTGACTGGTTTGAGACTGTGTAGATAACAGATCATCTTTTAAGAAAAGGTTGTTTTTGACACGACTGTGTTGTAACGGAAATGTGAGGGTCTCAGCCATAACCAAATATTTTAATGCATTAATGTGATTTTTTTTTTTAAATATTTTTTGAACTGTTTCAATTTAAATATGACATTTGTTTATGTGGTAACACTTCAGCATGCAGCCTGCAATATTCAGCTTAATTAAATGGGATTTACAGTAGGTTTTTGTAATAACTGTCTGTATAGTAAGTAGTAATACATACTTGTAGGTACAAGGGAAAATATGTAAAGTTTGGGGAATAAGGGGGTAAAAAGCTGGAAGTATTTTCTAACTAAGTGATACCTATTCTCCTATGCATGAGTACTACTTTGACAAAAAGCTACTTCCTGCTTATTTAGGCTGTAAATTGTGGGCTGTATTCTAAAGCATTAGTTTATTTATAAAGGATAAAATATGCCCTCATCCACACGTGGGATGTGCCTGAAAAATATTTATTTACAAGTGGGTGGTTTAAAAAAAAAAAAAAAAAAAAGAAGGCCTTTAATAAATACGAGCTAATACATCAATGTGTACTTTCACCCCTCAGGGCATGTTTTTCCTTTTCAAATTATATTTTCCTCCTCCAAGAGCACCAGTGGTCTCAGGGGATACCAGAAGTGCTCCTGTTTGGGTTTTGTTTTGTCCTTTTTACATTAATTTGTATTCAACATTATTCTGCCACTTTAACATGACACGGAATCTGTCACTCCAGTACAGACGGACATGGGAGCAGTTATAACATGACAGTAAAATGCAGCTTAAAGGGAATTGTATTAGATGGTCTGAAGTGCTCTTGAAACCTCTAAATGGATTTTATGTGTGTCCTTTGACCTAAATGCTCAACAGAACATCACAATAATGTGTCTTTGCATAAATACAAAGATTTTAAGTATGCGCAGTGTAATGTAACTGTAAGCACAGAAGTGCCACAGATTAATGTAAAAACACCTGGACCTGTCTGAAGGGGCATAACGACAGTTTGAATTGGAGTCAACCAAATAATTAATGAAGGTTTTTAATGAAAAAATATTGACACAATCCCCACATGTAGTTAATGTGATCGGGCTTTAAAATTTTATCCCTGGACTGAGGAACATCCAGCAGATGTAGTGGTAATGACTGTCTGGGCTTTTCTACTGGGAAACTGGTTTCTGCTTTACAGTTAAATAACCTTCCAGAAGAGGGGGGAGCTTTCACCTCTAACCCTCTTACAAAGACACAAAACACCAGAAAGACATGGAAAACAGACACTAGGCAGTTTCAGAAGCTTCACTGTTTAAAAAAAAAAAAAAAAACAACAAAAAAAAACTTGTGAAGCATCAGTAAGTTCACAACAGTGATATTTGTAGCTTTTCTTCTCTCACTGTCTTTCCTCTGTGAAACTCAAGTTGTCAAAAGATGGGATTTGTTGTTCCTGCTTGGGTATTTGTCATATTGTCACATTGTTTACTGGCAATGAAGAAACACCACTTCAAGTTTTCTTTTGTACTTTTAGCCACAGGTTTAACAGCTTTTTGGGGGTTTGGGCTTGCGTTTAACCAATCACAGGAGCTTTGGGGCTGTGGGCTTTGGTTTTCCAAAATGTTGGTTGTGCTTTTTTTTTTCTGTGAGTTTTATGAGAGATCATCCCGAGATAAATACTCACAAATGAATGTCTTTGCATCAGATTATTATTCAGATAAAAGTAACATATACTGAGTTGGACTGTTTAAGGTTTTAGTGGTTACCATGGCAACTCCATGGATGAAAAAGAAAATAATGATTTTGTGCCAGTCGGGGGTGTGAACGGGACTTGGTGCCATGAAGTAATGTTTTAAAAGTCAAATGTTATTTGGACTATACTCTTTACAGTTACATCTCAGGCTTTGAACTACAATTTGGCTGTTTGAGACAATGTGTAAAGTCAATTAAAACCAGCACATTTTTGTATTTATCTAACTGATTTTGGAAAACAGAATATAGCTGCCTCATTGCTTCCTCTTAGCCAACCAATGATCACCAGTAGTTTTTTTTTTTTTTTCTATTTAGCATCTTCTCTTGTGTCTCCCCACACACAGCCACTCCTCCCCCTGTGTAACACTGTTTAAATAAAGCATTGTTATACTCGTAAATCTTTGTTTCAGGTCTTCATTTATTTCACTGGTTCAACTAATTAAAAACTTAAAATATTGCATGTTGAACATGGCTTGAACTGTGCTTTATGTCAAGGCACTATAAGAATGAAATGCACAGTGTGTGTACAGTATGCCAAATATAGAACTTTCCGGCTTTTATGTTATCTAAAGCTTAAATACAGGCAAAAACAAAACCATTTGTAAAAAATGTATTTAGCTTCATAAAAAATTAATTTGTTTTTGCAGTGACATCTAGTTATCAGAGAGATAACTACTGATGTCTGAGATTTCCCTGATTTCAAGAAGTATAACAAAAGTAGAAAAGAACCAAAGTGCAGGCACATCTTTTTAAAATAAATTAGATCTGAGCTATGCTCCTCTAGCAATGAGGCCAGTCTATTTCAATGTTAGGAGTGACCTGTGTGTCACTAACGATGGTGTGTCCTGCCAGGTGTGTGAACGCTCCTCCTCCTCAGGTGTGCACGTCTGCATATCTACCTGTAGATGGCGGTAGCGATCTGCGGATACTCCGACAGCTCAGCTTCAACTGGAGGACGACAGAAAAACAGAGCAAGATAAGAAAAAAGACAGACTGGAGTAAAGTGGGTCACGACAGCACGACTAAGTTAACAACACAGTATACTAACAAAACTGTTGATTGTCATTAAGCTAGCCTACTTTTGGGAACACAGACAATACTGAATCATAAATGATGTCTTTCCAACGAGGCATACAGCTTGAACAGTTTTCCTTGTTACTTGCACTTTTACCGATTAATTTATACCTTTTAAATGACTTATAGTGATACAAGTTGGTCATTTGTCATAGCATGCTGTCTACAAAGCTAGATAAGCTTAATAAATTTGTAGTAGTTTGGTTTTAAATAGCAAAGAAATCAGTGTACGCATGCGCAATGAGCACCATGACTCGACGTGCCCGGTCTTCCGCTCTGGTGACAGCAGGTAATCAAGTGCAAATATTTTAGGGCCTATTTTATGACCTGATATACATTTAGTGATAACAAATCTGCCACGGAAACTCCAGTTAAGCTTCTGACCACAAAATGGGAAAAGGCAGCATGGGCCGCCACCTTACTGAGTGGTTTATATTGAAAGTAACCTTACTCTGGTAGTTTGCTCATCACGTAAAATGAAACTTTTGCGTATGTTATTCAGTGAGTAAACCACTAGAGGGCACTGTGAGAACTATTTCTCACCTTGTTCTCGGTCAGGACAACACGACAGCGCTTACAGTAAATCTAATGTAGTTTTCTTACATTTCAGTACAATTTGACAGTAAACAAACTACAAGAGTATGAGTAGCTGTCTTTAGTAGAACACTTTGAGTTCTACTAAAGACAAATCTTCAAAAACAAATCACAAAATGGTAGTTTTATGTTTGTAAAAATGCTAAGTAATTTGCTAACACAGTACTGTAGTTTTTAGCAATTTGTAATTTTTTTTTTCTTTTGTGACCTTATCCCAGAAACACCATCCATATTAATATGCATGCCACAAAAGATATCAGGATAAACCACAAGCTGGAATTTAGAAGAGTAATTTATTTTAGTCCTAAATTGGGACTAATCTAAAGAAGCTCTACATAAACATATAATCTTGTATCCAAGAAGAGAGAGAAGAGGTGGTGAAAGTGCAAGTGCATGTGTATGTGTGTGAGTGTGTGTACTGTATTTGTGGCCTGGTATCACGTTGTGAGGACGTAAATCTGTTTACACCGACACACCGTGGGCACTTGACATCCTTATAGGGACAAAAAGCAAGTCCCCCAAAATGTAAATCTTCACAGTTTAGAGTGATGACTTGTTTTGAGGTTAGGGTGAGGTTAGTTTGACATGAGCTGTCTGGTACTGTTTAAAAAACACTGTGAATATGACACTCATGCAAGACACAGTTGTTAAGTCTGTGTGTGTTTGCAGATACAGTGGTGCATCTTTTATTTTGCTATGGAAGTTTTTATAAAATGAGAATATTATCTGGAGATAGAAAAACTAGTGTGATAACAATGGCAATTGATAGCATAGAGTAATATTTTAGCTTCAGAGTAGCTTTTTATGAATAAATCCTTAAAATATGGAGATGTATAATATTTACCTATAATATCTGTGGTCCTGGATTAATCCTTCTCCATCCATTATTCATTTAGTGAGACAGCAGCATTGTAAATACGACATAGCAGACGACCTGGACATGGCTAGCCATGAAAAGTTAATAGTGTTCCTACCCTGTCTGAGTTTCCAGCTGAGGTAGATAATCAGCTGCAGCAGCAGCAGACAGACAGACAGGAACAGCAGCAGGCCAAAGAGCCAGAGAGGAAAAAAGCTGTCTGTGTCTCTGTCTGTCTGTGTGACTGTCTGTCGCAGGAGCAGAGCCAGATCTGCCCAGGGGCCACTCAGCACCTCCATGTTGCTCCTGCATGGAATAAAGCAGTCAGAGGAAAGAGGGAGTCGGGATTACTGTGATATTATGTTACCTGAGACAAGATCAGATAACATGTCAGAGACATCCAGGTTTCTGCTAAGCCTGGGCTAAATTTGGTGGAAAAGATTGCAAGTATTTTTATGTGTAATAATCATTGGTTATTGGCTATATTAGTGATAGACCAATTAATTGGTCGGCCAATTAATTTGGGCCCATATTTGGTGTTTTTAGATAGCAAGGCAAATTTATTTATATAGCACATTTTCATACACAACAGCAACTCAAAGTGCTTAACCCAATCACATAAATGGATACAACATTTAAAAGCATTCAGAATGCACATAGAAAAATAAATCATTGAAATGCATACAATATATATAGAAAAACATTAGAATGCAGTTTAAATAAAATATAACCATGCAAGTAGCAACATGCATCAGTAGATACCTAGTACTTTAAGGATAACTGTGTCAGACTGTGGCTTCTCATTGTTCTCATTATAGTTTGTACCCCTTAACTTCAGTCTTGCCAAGACTAACCTCTGAGTACTAAACACAGTCCTTCTGTATAATTTGAAGCATCAGTATTTATTCAGTCAGCTACACAGCACAATGAAGCAAATAGGTCATTATAGGAAGTTAAAACCAGATGAAGTGAAAAAACTGAATGGAATT